CCCGCCCCGAAATCATGCAGCCGTCAAACAGCCGCATGAGTCGAGGCCCGAGGACGCGTGAGGCCAATCCCAGCGCCCGCCCAGGGATGCCGTCAGGCCCCGGAGCCTTATTGGCCCCGAGGCGCTTGACAGCTGCCGCGAGCTCGTCGGTAGACCCCGTAGAGCTCGCGCTCCCCCGCCAAGTCGCGGTTCCGCTACTGGCGGGCCCTGGTGAAGCGGCGCCGCGCCGCGCGACACACGTCACGCAGCGCAGCGATCTCGTCGCTCCACCAATACGAGGCCCGCCTAGGGGGCTTCCTGACCCGGGGCATTTCCTCCCGGAGCCATTCGGCCGCCCTATCGACGTCCGCGACCGGTCCGGCCGGAACCCCCGGCCAGGACACAGCGAGGGCCGCTGCCATCAACGCGTCCTCCTCCGGGCGCTTGAGCACCCATCTAGGCGCCGGCCGGCCAGCGCCGGGGCCGCGAGAGGGGTGGTGTCGAGGGGCGGCGGAAATATCAAAAATGATGTGGAGGTGGTCGCTAAGTGTCACCACCTCCTCCACCACCCTCCACCCCGACACGAGACGCGCGGCGGCGGGCGTAGCCCATGAGAGGTCGACAATCGACTCTCCCTGCCACCGCACGCACGTGCTCGCAGACCCTCGGTTGAACAGCCGGAGGTCCGCGCTCGCCGCCCATTCCTCCACGGCATCACCCCTCGCGTCGGTCCTGGGGCTTCCCCAGAGGGTAGACTTCGCATTGAAGTCCCCCAGGACCTATGTTGGACGAGTCGGATCACGGGACACAATGTCCCGGATCCCGTCCAACAGCATCTCAAATGCCGCGAGGGGCATGCTCGGAGGGGCATAAACCCCCACCACCGCGAGGCGCCCACACAGCGCCGCGACGAAGCCGCACCAGACCGGGCACTTAGGGGCCGCCGCGCAGTCCCGGACCATACGGTCTGCATCACGCGGACACTTTTGGCGGACGTGCCCTTCTTCCAGGCAGCGGTAGCACCTGAGCGGCCGGGCCGGGAACGCCTCCACCCTGGCCAACGACCAACCGACCAGGATGCGGCCGGCCGTCGTCAGCCGTCTCGCGGCCGCGAGGGGGCAGCGCACCCACGCGGTGCCAAGGCCCGACGCGTTTCGGCGGATCTCGCCGCAGCGGACCTCGGCAGCCGCCGACGCGGGCGACCGCTGCCGCCACGGCCTCCGCGGTCACCGACTCGTCGAGGCCGGCCAACCGCATTTCCGCGGTCTTCGCCGGCCTCGAGACGCGGACGTCGGTGCCACGGAAAACCTCGGCAAGGCGGGCCGCGAGGGCTAACGCTCTCCGGCCTGGGGACCTCCAAAATGGAGGACCCCGTCTGGCCCTTACGGTAGCGGAGGTCGGTATTCCCGACCTCCGCTAGTTTGACCCCGGCCACAGCACGCCGCGTGAATTCCGCATACGGCGTTTGGCTGCCCGGGGCCACCGTAAGGGCGACCGCCGCTCGCGTCGGCACGCGCGGGGGGCGACGGCCCCCAAGCATCATTTACCAAGGTCATCTCGTTCAACCGATCGTCAGTAACAGGCTCAAATTGTTGAAAGATTCCATCTTGTGTATTTGGGACACGTCTCATGTGACCCATTTCTTCATACTCCTTCATGAATGAGTTGTACAATAGTCTGTGTGAGTCGTCAGTATTGAGTCTTTTCATGAGTCGTCGTAGACATCGTCGTGCTGTGAGCTCCGAATCTCCTAAGATATTCGGTGAAGACTTGAGTGGAATTCGTACTGTGTATCTGCCACATTCGTCTCGTGAATGTGTTGATTTACAATAATCTTCGCATGCCTGCTCTTCTGGGGTCAGTTGTGGCTCAGTAGATGCATGTACTTCTTCCTGAACCCAAAACTTGGTGAGTAAATCTTGTTGCTCTTGGAGCGCTGATTCACTGGTGATATGATGAGTGTAGTGCAATGATGAGTGATTTTTTATGATTGGACCAAGAACTACCCAACCAAAAATTGTAAGTTGAGCCATAGGTGATGAGCTATCATGCCGTATCATGTCTGGTCTGATGATCTGTGCATAAGAATCTGCCCCGATGATGACGTCAATGGGCCTTGGAGTTAGAAAATTTGGATCGGCCAGCTGCAATGATGATAGATGTGGCTACTCTTGGTGTCCCACGTGGAATGACGGCAGTGTATTCGTCAACTTGTTGAGAATGTGAGCATTGATAATAGCGGATTGTGAGTGTTCGGGAACGAGGCTCTTACCGAATTCGGCAGCCTTCAATACGCGCGATAACTATTCGAACGCCTCAACGCTATTAGCGTAATCATCGCGATTACCGCGTGCGCGTGGCTCGCCATTCGGTCAGGCGCGCAATTCCCCTTCCTCGGCGGGGCGGCCGGCGCGGCCGTGGGCCGGGGAGGAGAAAAAGGGGGAGGCGCGGGGGCATGAAGGCCGGAATGGTCGGGGGTCCGGGAGGGGGTACCGTTGGAGCTGCAGGGCAGCGGCCGGCGGCCCCTCCCTCCTCCTCCTCTGCCCCCCGCGCGGTGCAGCGGCAGCGGTTGCAAGAGCCCGCGAGCGCTCTGCGGCCCGTAGACGCCCCGGCCACCTGGTCGGAGGTCGTCAGCCGCAAGGAGCGCCGCAGGCGGGCCAAGGCCGCTGCGTCCCCGCCTCCGGCTCCTCCGGCGGCGCCGGTGCGAGAGAGGGCGTCTGGGCGTCCGCCGCGTACCCCAAGAGGGCCGCGGTGGCGCTCACGGTCGCCCCGGGCAGCTCGACCTCGTGTGCGGAGGTCCTGCAGAAGGCGAAGTCCGGCGTCCGTCTGGCGGACGTCGGTATCGCGGACCTCCGCTACCGCAAGGGCCAGACCGGGGCCTCGATAATGGAGGTCCCGGGGCCAGAGAGTGCTGCCCGGGCAAACGCCCTTGCGCGGCGCCTGGAGGACGTATTCAGCGGGACCGACGTGCGCGTCAGCAGGCCCGTCAAGACCGCCGAGGTGCGGTTGACGGGCCTCGACGAGTTAGACGCAATCGATCCGGCCTCGGCGGGGTGTGGGTGAGGGCCCCCCTGGCCGCGACAAGAAGGCTGACGACGGCCGGACGAGTTCTGGTCGGCTGGTCGTCGGCCCGGGTGGAGGTTTTGGCGGCCCGGCCACTGCGGTGCTGCCGCTGTCTGGAGGAGGGGCACGTCCGCCAAAAGTGTCCGGGCGACGCGGACAGGGGCGGACGGTACTACTCCTGCGGAGGCACCGGTCATGTGGCCCGGGATTGCGCCGAGGCCCCCAGGTGCCCGGTCTGCGCCGACCTAGGTCGGCCGGCCGGGCATCGTCTGGGCGGCAAGGGCTGCGCGCCTCCACCGTCGCGGCGGCGCAAGCGGCGCGGGACTGCAGCGGTGCCGAGCGCGGCTGCGGCCTCGCAGCCGCGGGGAGATCGACCGGTGCAGGCGCCGGTCGATGAGGAGGGACGATCCGGCCGGAGGAGGCCATGGACACGGCCTAGTGTTCATGCCCCCGACTCGGGTCCTCCAGGCCAACCTCAACCACTCGGCCCGGGCTCAGGACTTGTTCCTACATAGCCTGGCCGAGCTTGGTGTGGGGTTGGCGATCGCCGCGGAGCCGTACCGCGTCCCGGACCGCCCGGACTGGGTGGGGGACGCGCACGGCTCCGTGGCAGTGGTGAGCCACGGAGACGTGCCCCACAGCGCCATTGCGCGGGGGCGCGGCTTCGTCGCGGCCCGCTATGGGCGCCTGGCGGTGGTCGGGGTTTACGCTCCACCGAGCATGCCTCTCGCGTCGTTCGAGACGCTGCTGGACCGG